TGGGCATATCAGTGAGACCTCATCTCCAGAATAAAAAATAAAAAAAACGTGCTGGGTATGATGTAGGTCAGTGTGAGAACACTGGTATCACTGGTATCCCGTGGGAGGCCCTTGGGTTCATGGTCCAGTGCTGCAATCAAAATAAAACAAATGTGATCTGTGCCTCTTTGGGGCCGTAAGGACAACCAGTGAGATGTTGATGAAGGAAATGCCCTAGCCTGATCGGTCTTGCCTCAGGTTAGCAGACTCTCTATGCCACAGCCTATAGCTTTTCACACATGAGTTTCATCTTCTGGGTCTAATTCTGCATCGATTAGTTTGCCTGACCCCACTCCTACTTAAGGACATACCTACCTCCCCATTAGCGATCATCTGTCGCATGTATGTGTCTGTTTCCCTTCATCATGGGCATGCAGTGATGCCAGAAGCTATCAGAGTCCCTGGCACCGGAGTTACAGGCAGTTGTGAGCAGCTTGATTTGGGGGCTGGAATCACATCCTGTGCAAGAGCAGCAAACACCCTAAACTGCTGAGCCGGCGCTCTGGCTCTCCTACTTCACTTGGATGCTGCTGTTCTTGCCCCTGCTCCTGCCCACCGTCTCCTCTGCATTCAAAGCTACACACTCTCAGTTCTTCCAACGATCCCTCCCTCTCTGATATAAGCGCCAGTTTCCAGCAATATCCACAAGTGAACAAGACCTTAGTCACCAGCGGTGACCCGGACAATGCCACATGCTTGGTGCGTGTTGCCCCATTTAGGGTTCTGTGCTTCGGTGGTATCCCAGCTGGTGTGTGACTGTCACAGTTAGCTTCCAGCAAGTTAAAGACATGCTTGGATCTCACAGGTGTGTGCTCATCACACATACACTCACTGGGCCCCAAAGACACACCACATGACAACAGTAACAGAAGCACAGTGTAATTCTGCCTTTCGAAACAGCCAAATAAGGTATATTTGTATGCAGTTTGGTAATGCTTATTCCCTTATTAATATTGTGGGTGATACCTTTTCTAACTCCAAAAATACTTTTGGGGACGTGGTTTCATAATTCTTAACACTTCTATTTTTATTTCACTTTAAACATGAGTTCATTTTCTTAGATTTCCCATAAGAAGCATATCGTGTCTAATGACCTTTCAAAAATGTATGGAATAATGACTTCAGGCTTCTGAAGGAAACAGCATTCAGAATTCCACATTCATCTTCACAGGCATCCAGGGGTAATGGAGGCCCCAGAAGGACTCTGTCACATCTGTTAAGAAATTGGGTAGATCATGTCCTGTAAGTGTGTTCCTAGGAATCTAATAATTACATGTCACAAAGCCTAAGAAAATTCATTTATCTTGCACACTAGCACTAGAAAGTCTTTGCACTTTGGTGTCCAGAGGGTAAAACCAATCACTTAGAATATTAATCAAATTAATGACTCAATTGCTTGCAGTATAAAAATGAGATTAAAAAAAAAAAAAAAAGCCAGGTGCGGTGGCACATGCCTTTAATCTCAGCACTCGGGAGGCAGAGGCAGGTGAATCTCCGAGTTCAACTCCAGCCTGGTCTACAGAGTGAGTTCCAGTTCAGCCAGGGCTACAGAGAAACCCTGTCTCAAAAAACCAAAAGGGAAAAAAAAAATCCTTTACCAGCTGAGACTCAGCTCAGTTGGTAAAGTGTCTGTGCGTAGGCATGAGGATCACCACCCACGTAAAAGATGGGTGTGATGTTACACGCCTAACTCTAGTCCTGGGGTGGGGTGGTGGTGGAGATGGGAGAATCTCTGGAGCTCACCGGCCAGCCAGCCTAGGTTCAGTGAGAGCCTGCCTCACAAAACAAGCAGAGACTTACCCTGACCCCTAACCCCAGAGGAAGGCATACGGCATCAATCAATCTCTGGCCCTCAGAACCAACGCACATATCCACAGGATCCCATGTAACACACACACACACACACACACACACACACACACACACACACACACA